TAGGGTAATTGAGAACTGCCGAAATTATTGCTTAAGATGATGAGACGTGATTATTGTTTGACTTTCTTATGTAGAAAACAAATCTAGACAAGGTTCTTGAGTTTATAATTTACCCACACAACATTTTTATCAACCCTTCGTATCAATTATATTTTTCATTCGATGTTCCAAACTACCCCACTTTACCCACCCTATTAAACACAAAATGTAGAATACTCCTGTCTTGTATTTGTGTTTATTTTTTATTTTGCTGTATTATTTCACAATATTATATTTGGTTGACAAAATAATAAAATCCAAATTATTGCTAAAAACGAAAACAGAATGAAATGAAAATCAAAATTTGCACTTGCCGATAGATAATTGTTTAAATAGTAGTGAGTTAGTTTAATTTATTTTGTTTATAAGGAACTATATATATATCTAATGAATGTACAAACTTTTGTAAATTTTCACTTCGTTGTCGGATATTATTTCTAGCAAATCAATTATGTAGTTTATTATTTAGGTAATAATTTTTGTTTAGGTATATCTGTACATTGTGACATTTTTATTCAGTTTGAGTTCAAATTCAAATTTTCTGTAACAAAGACAATGAAAATATTTACTTTTAAAAGTATCTATTTTTATGTCATTGTGCTCCAACGTTACCCTATACATCTGTAGTGCCACATTATAACTATACTATGCATTAATTCGTACATTACTATTTTCAGTTTTTTTTCCTTTGCTTTCTTAAAACAGTAACTTAGGTAGTTCACAATATAGTTTCAACAATATTTACTTACAAAAGTTTATTACAAGGGAAAGGCATGTAGATTTATTTAAGGAGATGCCTGATTTCTCACATTAGTTTATAACAATTCTAACAACAACGGGTTAAGTTCTCTTTTTTATTTATTTATGTAAACCTACTTGATTTAAAATGAATAAGTACATCTACTGTTTCAGGAAGACGTCGAATAATGATTAGATAATTAAATTTAGTTTGTTAGGTTCCTTGATTAAATTTAATTTAACAAATTTTCTACTACATTCCTAAACATTTTAACACCCATTTAGTAATTTTAAATTTATTCTATTAAATGTTAGTTTTACTAATTCGAATTCAATAACAATACTGCAATAATTTTTCAACTTAATAACTTCATTAAAAAGCACAAGTATGTCCTTCAATCAACTGAAGACGAATATTTTTAAAAAGAAAATTAAACGTTATTTTTAAAGATTATTTTATATAAACATATCTGAAAATTCTTGACTTAATCAGTGTAATAGTAATTAAAAAGTTTTTTGAACGATATTATTTTCAATCGACGTTTTTAATGTAATAATTATTTTATTAATTGATTATTACTTAAACTTGTTACTTACATATTGCGCTAGTTAAAACGATGCCCTGCTACAGTTGAAAAGTTATAAAAATATAACGAAGCAAAGTATACTTATTGTTTACTTTGTGTTAGTAATTTGAGCATTTTAAAAATCTTAAACGAAAAAGTTGTGGATGACAAGATATCATGTTGAGGTCATCTTCATTAATAACCTATTCGTATGGAGAAACCTTTAAGGGGACAAGGGAACATAACACATATAATGAAGATTTTAAAAATTTAGATTGTCCATTTTCTTAAAACAAATCTAAGTAATTAAACTACTTAACGTATTGTATGACTTCAAACAAGAAAACAAAAAATTCTTCCCCCTTAAAAGCTTTCTATTGCTATGGTACAATTAGTGTTAATTACATAATTAATTAATATAACTTCACTTACATGGAAAATATGTCATTTAAAGTTGAAAATTCATTAACCTATTTCAATGAAACTTAAATTATAGATTAACTGAAGCCTGTTTTAAATTGTCCCAGCGCTTTCACTAAAATTTTCAATAATTTTTTATTAAAAACGTTTTCTAACTTTCTTCGTAGTTGTAATATTTCTTGTATGTTTGGTTGTCTATATACCTATTATATTACACATTGCAGTTTAATTGCAAAAAAAGAATATAATTAGCACGCTAACTGCATTTATATGAGAGAAATATAATTTAAAGATGAAAATTCATCAATTCACTTCAATGAAACCGAAATTATAGCTCAATTAAAGCATTTGTTTTAAATTGTCCCGGCGCCTCCACCAAAATTTTCAATAATGTTTGTGTATTTTCATTTGATTTGAATTTGATTCTTCTGGTTTTCAAACAAAATATGATTTATTGTTCAGGTTTAGGTGATAAGAACAAATAAAAGATTATTTCTGTGATGGATTACATTATATTTGTTCGTACGCAGTCGCCGTGAGCATTTTTATGTTACAATATTGCGACTATCCTTAACAGTACGTAACAGATTTAGATTAACAATTAACATACGATTTAGATAAATATATAACCTTAACTACTAATTGTGTATCCGATTTTTATTATTTTTTTTGTGTGTTTTATTCACTACCCTCGATCGAAGACCAATTTCTTAACTGCTTGTTTGTGTCAAAAAACAGAAAACGCCCGAAATGAATGTAAAATCGTAACAAATAAAAAACTAAGCGTTATTGTACATGTCTATTAGGTACGTAAAAAAATAGTTTATTGTTGTGCGACCGTCTGCTAGGCAGGCAATTGTTAAGAATGACGGCAACAAAAGAAATTGGTCTGATTGTTAACGGTTTCTTTTTAGCCAAAAAGTGTGTAATATTTTANGTTTGTTTCTTTGATGGGGAGATTCGTTGTAAAAATAAAATTTAAAGCACCTGTGTTTAAGTGGCAACAATTGAACATCGACAGTTATGAAATAGTTAACGAGTTTTTATTATTAGGTATTAATTATCAATTAGTTATTATTTGTTAGTATTTATTATTATTATTAGTATAATATGTGAAAGTTTGTGCGAACGTGCAGTTTAATTTATTATTACGTATTGTTATTAATTAATCTACGATTTAACGTGGAAACTGATGAAAGTAGGAACAAATGGGATAACGCTGCTCCACTCAATACAATACATATTATTATTTAAGTATCACGTTGATCATGTCTTAAAACATTTAAAACTGCTCGAACATTACCTACCAGCAACAATGTATAAACTTTTTCAACATTTCTTTAATTTTTATTAATGTAAATGAATGTCCAAAACCTTTAAAAACGTTATTTAATATCGGCGTTAAGTTTAATAAAAATCGCTATTTTTGGGCAGAATTGACTAATAATAAACATTCTTATCATGTATAAAAGAGTGTAAATGAGAAGGGGATGAATCAAGTACTTAATTCCAATCCAATTGCTCAAAACAAGTTCCTTTTTTAGACACCCACAACCTCACATTTTGCCTTAAATGCGTACCTTTCCGTTACCTTTTCTTTATCAGTAAAGTGTTGCTAGTATCCTTTAGGAATTAATTTAATAACTGGACGGACTGTATTGACTAGGTTTTTTTATCAAAATTTGGTATATTTTTCAGATCAATTAGTGAAGTATCGAATAATGGAATGGAAATATAATTTTGTTATCATTATGATGAGTACGTTCGGCTACAACACGATTTAGGTAGAAAATTTGGACGTAGTTGACAGTATACCGTTTTAAAGTTTTGGTCATTCATCACCAACATCTTCAACAGTCAATACATCAGCTCTATTCCGATAAAAAAGACATTCCAAACGATTAAAAACAATGTCTCGCAACAATCTTCCGCGGTTTTAAGTGATGGACAACGTGACAGTTGGAAACACCTTCTTTTTACCGATAAATTGTCTCCGATTAAAAGGGAAGTTAATTTTTTTTTATTAAACGCTTTAACATACCCTGTAAGTCACTTAAACAATGTTTTTTTGTTATTGGTTTAAAAATGTGACGAGTAGAACGTTTTCCGCTACGCGTTCACTCACGAATCCGACAGTCTCGAATTAGGACAAAATTTCATAACACACGTACACTCACACTAAATATTGCACACGGATTTAATTGAATAGTTGTAGTTTAAGTTTTTTTTTTTGGTTCGGTTTGGTTTGGCTACCGTGACGACGGACATGGACCTGTCTTTGCAGTCAGCAATGTAACTTTCGAAAATTGATTGTCAAAAGTAAGCAACTTGTCACTTTTCTATTTAATCATTTACCATTTGCCATTATTTCCCATGTGACTAAACTGCTTTTTCTTCGTTACAATTGTTCAAAATTGTCCAATCGAAATCTTATTGGTTTTTGACTTAAGATCATTAAGGTCAAAACTTTTACAAAATTGGAAGAAAGTTTGGAAACGCTTGGAGAAAAGAAGATCTTTGGAAAATATTATACCTAATATGGAAGACTAAATTAAAATTAAACTTTAAGAATTAGTTGGGGAACGAAGGGATTGCAAACTCCCCAGAAATCACACCAGTTGTTCAGCGTTCTTTCTGTATTGAGAAATTGTAATGTTGACTATTTTCTGATCAATATTTTTGGTATGAAGATCAATAAACTAATTGATGGATTTCTATTTAATGAATGGTAAGAAAATTAGGTAGAAATATTTAACTGAAGGATTAGTAACAAAGTGGTTATATTATTAGACATTGAATAAAAAACCCAAGACGTAAAATATTGCAAAAGACTGATGAGTGAAATGGATACGAAATAGTAAATTCAAAAAGGGGTAGTTAACACTTCTTCGTAAAACTACCCAGTAGCTCAATGTAAAAATAGTTATGCTTTTGGACCATGAATCTAAAACCTAAAGGAAATAAAGATGACCATTCCTTTAGATGGATGAACAAGGAATAATCTTCACGAAATAGCAGGATTTTCTTCAGAAGAGGACGAATACGTTACCAGTTAATAATTTTGTAATTTCAAAGTCCAAAACATCAGAGATTGAGCAATTTTAAATTTCATAAGCTTGATACTGAGGTCATTCAAGTTCTAAAAAACTTACAGATTGAGAAATTTCAGATTTCAAAAATTTACACTTGAGGAGCTTCAAACTACAGAACAACTTTCCGATTGGGGAACTTGGAATTGCAAAAGCGTACAGATTAAGGATGTCAAATTCAAAAAACATACCGATTGAAGAATTTTAAAGTCGAAAAACTTACCGATTGAGACACCCCAGACTTCGAAATCTCGCCGATTGATTGAGGAGAAGCAGTTTAATCATTATTTTTTTATTAATAGACATTGTTGCTGTTTACGTTCGTAGTTCTTGCCCCATGTCACGGCACGCCACCACCTTCATCAAACACTGTCAATGTTGGCGAGTCTTTCGCCAAGTTCCTCGCACATCCGCTGCTGCTGTTGATGATGAGATCGACGCATTGAGGGGGTGGTCGAGAGGGGTGGCGGAGCAACGGGTATAGGCCGGGGTCGGACCAGGCATCGATCTTGACTACGTCGTCTACGTTTCCGATGGCAAAATACGACCACCATCAGCAATACGAACATGACAGTGGCCACAGCGCATGCCGAAACCGTCGTGTAGTTTTTCTCAGCCACTTTTGGAGTACCTGTAAAGATGGCTACCATAATACCACTGACTACTACTATCTTCCCGTTTTCAGACTGAAGCTGTTGGTGGTAATTTCCAAATCGTTATATAATGTGATCCTATTTTTTCAAAAGACAAAAGTTGTGCAGGAAATTAACAACAAAGGGTTTAAAGAAGTTTCTACAATTTTGTAAAGAAGTACATCAGTGGCGGCTCAGGGGGATCATTCAGAACTTTAGTAAGAAGTGAGGATGAACTCGCACCCTTCTGTGACCTTATATCTTCACCAGTCGCCACTGATGTACGTGTAGTTATGTACAGACTTACTTGTTACTGAAATAGAATCATGCTGTAGATAGCAGCGAACCAGTTAGCAGCACCACCAAGCTAACGGACAGGGGTGGCAGGATTACGGAGGGCAAAGGTGACACCGTACGTGACTCACCTGTGTACATCACAATGAATCACCTGCCACACCCTAAATTACGAAATCACGACAGTTTTCCTTTGTATAGATAATAGAAGACGCTTTACAATCACAAATTTGTTGCTAGTAATTTTGAAATGAAGGAAAAATAATTGAATATTTTCGTCGTGTTCCGCAAGATTTCTAGATTATGTCACTAATAAATAATAATTACTTACATAGGATAATGGAGTGCATATACTGTAGATCGGATAACTATCTAACTGACATATTAATTAGGAAGAAAAAGACGTATTGTACTGACTAGGAATAGAACCCGAGTCGATTGTATGGCAATTTTGCACTGTAACCACTGGTCCAATTACCAGCTGTATACAACTACGTGAAGTCCAACGATCGGCAGTATATGCACTCCATTAATTCATAAGAAGCATCGGAAGTATCATATTATTAGCAAAAATACTCTATATACGGAAGCAATTAAATATTTTTGAGTCCACTGATTGTAATTCAAGTATGATGGCATTAAGCAAAAGCATGCAATTGAAAGGTAGAGTAAAGAATTTGTGCTAGAAGTGGAGAAGATCAAGATACAGAGAGAATTTGCAATAATAATCAATTAATAAATATTTAATATAAATACAATAATAATAGTAACCATTCTATCACTCACAGTTGTCTTCATCGGAATTGTCGTCGGCCCCGCAGTTATAGATATTATTGCATTTTAATTTAAAAGGAATACAGTATCCGGTTTTGGAACACTGAAATTCGTCGCAACTTGGGCCTTCCTGTACTTCAGTCCAGATAATTTTGAAACCTTGGGCGCCGACAGCTTTATCCGCTGTCACAAAACTGTCGACAACAATAAATTAAATGAGTCAGTGCTAAGTGAAATTCGTGGTAATCTACTCACCTTATTCGGATCCTGTTAGACTCGGATAGGAATTGCCAGTTGTCCTCGAGCCTTTTTTCTCCACAAAGTTCTGTAGGTATTTCGTTTAGATTAAGCCATAATCTCAAAACAGCTGCAGGACATCCTCGAGCTAAATTGTAAGAACAATAATTACCCTCTAAGTGTCTCCTCAAGAGACAGAATATACTCACGAAAAGGATCTCCTTCCACCATGAACCTTTCAAAATGGAGCATGATTTTGTATCTGGGTCGAACAGAGATGTACCAGTTGCAGATTTTTGAAGCTCTCCCCTTCAAAGGACCGTCATAGTTGAGTGGAAAATGAGGGCTGGTGATTACTCCGTAGTCCGTGTTACTGATGTTGCCTCCGCAATCCCCGAAAATATTTTTCGCCGTTTCGAAGACGTAACGTGCCCTGAAGCCGCTATAAACATTTTCGGCATCGGAATGGAGGACCACTTTTAGGCCGAGAGCCCCACGATAGGACTCCACAGGTCCGGGCGCTGTCTGACCGCAATACCGACCCAGCAGCTTTTCTGAACTGTTGTGGTAAATATTGTATATCTCTAGCCAGTCTTCTTGACAAAGATCTAGTCTAAAATGAGAGTAAAAAATTGTCACATCAGTGGAAACAGTAAGAAAGACATCAGAAAGATCATGCCATTGTCTAAGAGAAAATGGGAAATGGTATTATGAAAGGAATTGGAAGATCATGGTCGCTTCATAAAATAAATGAGAAGGTTGTGGTAGTATAATGGAAGCAAAGGAAGATCCTGGCAGTATTATAGAAGGACCAAGGAGGTTATACTAGTATCATTCTATGGAGGGAACGAGAGAATCGTGGAATATATGGATGGAATGGAATGCTCTTGGAAGTATCTAAGAAGGAACGAGAAGGAGTGGAAAAATTGTGATGATGTCGCTGATCAAAAGATTCTGGTCTGTGTATTTTTTGATTTGGAGACTTACCCATAAAAACCAGAAGTGATGTTGGTGTTTCTGTCAGCCCTTACTTTAAAATTATCAAACACTAGTATAACCTGTTCATTGTGTGTAGCTATAAACAAATATGTACAGTTGGTGTTGCTGGGATAATTCGAAGGATATCTAGGAGAGTTGAACTCTCCTTTCCTTTTGCTTGTACTTCTGTACGTAAAACTACAACTACCATCAGGAGAAGCAGTCCCTGGTATTTTGTATTCTGTAAAAGTGAAAGGTGACATTTTTTGAACGTCGATATCCATTGGATACCAGATATATTACCAGTCTCAAAAGTATAATTTGCTTTAAATCCCCTTCCCATTTTCTCTCCACTGCTAAAAACCATAACTAATCTAGGACCTTCGGAAATAACAACTGATGGGTTCGCTTCTTCCCCACACATTTCGTAGTCGAATTTATCGTAAGAATCGGTAGTTTCTTGTCCCTTGAGGTATATTTTTAAGTACCCGTCGGAGCAACTGAAGCAAAGGTAATCTTCAGAACCTAATTACGATTAAGTCAAGGGTATGAATAATATTTTTCTAAGGGATCCAACACGTTTCGTATCTTACAGACTCGATTTGCATTTATTATAACTACGTAATATACTATATGAATACTGGATGATATGCTTTGCGTTCATAACTTTTTATATCCAAAGGTACTTACTCGCTTTTGGGACCTTTTGGTATTTCAAAAAGGGCAAATTCTAGGCGCACCCTTTCCAAGTGTTGAGCGTCTTGTAGTCCATAAATAAAGTACCTACACACTAGTTTTGGCATGTAAGGAAACGGATAGTTGGGACTAAATACAGATCCACTTGATTCCTTTTTGCTGAGGATTTTTTGGTCACATTCGGATCCTCTAATGTGAATTCCGTCGTTTTTACTTATAAAATCTTAAAAATGAACCTCAATAAATGTCATCACAAGAAGATTCTGTTTAAGTAGTTACCTAATTTAGTAAAGGAATTCGAAAACTCGAAGATTCCCTTGAAGCCTCTGTTTTGAGTGCTGGCAGTGCGAGTAAGTGTTACAAAAGTAATGAAGAGAGATGCTTCCGACGAATAGAGAACGAGGTTCCTTTGTTGACCGCAATAAGTCCCTATTATTGCGGAACCATTATCTGGACCATCGTAAACTTTGACGTAATCAAAAGGGCAGCTTGGAAAAAAAATATCATCTAGAAACCGTCCAAAAACGAATCGTTTCCTTCAACGACAATTACGAAAGAAATATCAGGCGCTTCTTTAAAATATTACCAAAAAAGGGCCTTCATATTTATAAAAGGGTTAACTGATTTGTCATTAAACAGTTCCGAAATGGTTAATTACCACAAACACTTGTTGGAAAATTGACCTTATTATCCCACTTGGAGTAAACTCAAACAAACATGTCAGAAAGAAAATAATCACCAAATCACGTTGGTAACATGTGGAAACGGTTGTATTAACTTTTGAACATTATTGACGCATGTACCAAAGTTTACATTCAATTAATTATTAATTATACATCACTGGCTTCCGATCGATTTTGTATCAGTTGATGTAGGATATCATTAGACACCAGTGAGGTATTTTTTTTATCTATCTTCCTCTGTAATTGGTTCTTCACGTATACCTAACTGTATCTCTATATCGATCGAACGGTGAAGGCTTAATTACGTAGATGTACTAACGCGATTACAAGCTACTTACTGAGGGCCGCCGTAAAACAGATCAAAGTCCCGAAACTCCAGTCGAACCCTCTGATTGGGTGTTCCCAGAAACTGATACGTGCACGTTATATTCTTCGGATAGGCACCTGGATAGGTCGGCGATAGAATGACGCCGGTTGGCTTCGCGGCCCCTTTCACCAGGAAGCTGCAGGGAGTGTTGGGAACCGGCGTGCCGACTTCGAACTCCGCTAAAATGCAATAAAAGGAAAACACATTTCGATTTAAATGCGTGGAATTTGTTCCAGTTGACTCACTAGACTTACTGTCATTAACAAAGGCGTATCTCCCTCGAAATAGATCAGGTGAGGAGGCGTTTTTATCAGTATAAAATGACAGAGCAATGGCTCTGTAGAGTGATACACGACGTCTTGGAGGTATGGGACCGCAGTAACGACCTCCGAAGGGAGAGTTAATCAACTCCGCTGATTCAGTGTGCACTACCTCAGAATAAACGTCCATGTATTCATGGATGCAACTAAAGAAATAAAATATTTGACTTATTTCCCTTTTGTATTTGAGAGACTGTCATTTTATTCTTGTTAACAATAAGTTCAAACAAAATTTACAGGATTATATATGGTGTTGTTTCCTATTCCAAACAACGGCCATGTTGGTCATCATCTTCAACAAAAATTCTAATGGTATCTATAAGATCGTCAGTACTAAGACTGGTTGGATACGCACCTCCACTTTTTTCTATCCTGAGCTAATTTTCGCATTTCTCTAAAACTAGAACAACCCACATCCTTAAATATTTCCGAACAGTAATCTAATCTAGGTCTACATCTACCCCTCCTAACTCCCGTTTCTAATATGTCTCTGACTAGACCTTCATGTCTGAGAAGGTGTCCTACCAACCTATCTCGCCTTTTTCTCATTGACTTCCATAGAGCCTTCTGTTCTCCTATTCTTTCTAAAACCTCTTCATTTCTTTCCACGATATCCTCATCATTCCCCTATAACACCACATTTCCAACGCTTCTAACCCTTTCTTTTCTGCCGCGCCCACTGTCCATGTTTCGCACCCGTATAGCGTCGCGCTCCAAACATACACCTTTAAGAATTTCTAAATTAACCGTTCCCGAGCATAGAAATGACTTCTTTTTATTGAAGGCTACACGACCCTGCTTTATATCCCTACTACCCCTTCCGTTTTGACTTATTTGACTTTCTAGATACCTAAAATCAGCCACTTCTTCTAATTTTTCGTCTCGTATCTTTATATTCGCTCTTTCCCTACTTTTTCTTCTCTTGCATACCAGTATTTTTGTTTTACTTTTATTTACATTCATACAGTACTGTTTTGTCAGTATGGTATAGTATCTAGGTACATACATAATAAAATGCCTTAACAGTTCAAAAATCTGAGACCTTTGTTCAAACAAAACCTGTGGGTTTTAGAATTTCCGTTATTTGATATATGTATAGAGTGTTGTATCGTAGTGCGAGTTTTTAGTGGCTAAAAATGCTCGAAAGAAATCACTTAAAGGTTTGAATTGACACTTAAGAACTCATGTACATATGTATGTAGTAAGTAGAGAATAGAAATACATAAGCTTCCTGCAATTGCAAGAACGGTGCACGCAGATAAAGAGATATTTGAAGAGAAAAGAAAACAAGTAAAGGAAAAAGAGCAGTTTCAGTTCGCTTTCATGCATTTTATGACTTATTTATTGTTACTAGGTAAGTAGCCCAACGTTTGCGAAGTACGTAAGAGGTAGTGAATAAAATGTGAATTCTGGGCTTGGGTAAGAAACCATGCTCAACATGCAAAATTCGAAATACAACTTTTAATAAGTATTGATACGGTTAGAATTAACTTTAGTTTCATAATTAGATGGGTACATAGCAAAAAGTTTTCGAGAGAAGACAGGTAGTGCTTTGAGAGAATGAAGAGAGAGCTTTTTTTGAAAGTACTCACGCGGGGAGGTTTCCCACGGCTGCCCCACTATAGAGTAACAAAAAATACAATCAAAATTCACTAGACTAACATATATGAACTTCATGCAAGCAATTATTCAAATGTAACAACATAATCGACACATCGAATGCATAAATTGCAAAATACACACAGTTACTAGTTTCACAAAGAAACGAATAAATAATGTTAGTTTTGTAAGTCTGTAAATGTCTCACGAAATTCATAATTATTTATCTATTTGCTGTACTTGCTTAATCTATTTGTACTTTATAATGTTGTTTTCAAAAAATGACTTTATTAAATGATAAAGATTGCTCTAAATAAATTCAGTATTAAATGAAAATATCTGGTAATAGGTAACTAACAGGACTTCCACCTAAGGATATTAAAGTAGAAGGGACCGTCCCTTAATAAGTGAATTATAGATTAAATGACAAATGCTTCGGTTCATCTCATTCCTTTCCAGGGACACTAGAGCTCTTCCTTTGAGTAAATTATTTTGGCATTCTCTTATAGGTTGCGTTACCTTTATTACTCATATCTTGTAGGTACTTCAAATATATGACATTAAGTACGAGAAATAGGGTGATTATCGGAAAGGAATTTCATTATCGAGGGTAGGCCCTTAACATATTATGCTACCTACGTTAGGGTTGTTGGTCTAGAACTATAGGGTTACAGGAATTTGGAATGATGCAACCTCTATCACTTGGAGCTACCAGAACATGGAAAAATTCAGGTCAAAAAGTGAAAAAATTCGGATTTTTGTAAAAAACTAATGACGCACTTTCGACCCTCGGAGTGATTGAGGTTAAATCATTTCAAATTAATGACAGTTTCTTCTCCCAGAGGGGAAAATGAGCAATTTTCTGTCACCCTGTATACCTTCCTTGACAAAATTAAATATAAATGTACTGTTAAATTATTTACGCCATCCACATAAAAATATAAAAATGTTTGCTTACTCCGGTGGGGTGCCGCGAAGTTGGAAATGTGTAAATACAACTTCAGCCCTTTGTCCAGGTCCTGCAATAAATACATAAACGCACTGGCGAGAGTGTCCCTTGGGGTTGACGAATTCGGGAGCGTGGAAAGTACCATTTAAAGGGCCCCCTTGACGACTTACAAATGTTTGGTCGCATTCTGAAATAGACGAGACACAAAACAATTTGTAATGGGGGTGAAACACTGAACAAACTTCCTTTAATATTTATATTTTGTTTTTATTATCTCCATGTTTATCTACTATGTTAATGCCTTATTTTTATCGTTTCGTTTTCATACAAGAAAAAAGGAATCGGTACAATGTTTATACAGAATTGATGGTAATCATTTGTAAACCAGTACGACTGGACATAATTTATTTTGAACTATCTTCCCGGTATGTCCTAAAATGGCCCTAAAATCGTTCTTTAAAGAAAGTTCAACATTCTCAGGAATTTAAGATATAATTCCAACAAGGAAGTTATAAAGCCGTCCCTGACCTTTTGCGTTACAATTTTGATCTATAGTAAAGTATTTATGTAGCATTTTTTTTGCCCTTCTTAATTACTATTGCTCCAATAAATCCCAGAATTACAGATAAGGGCTCTAAGTATATTTATTGTGGTATCTGACCTTTCAGTAATTCCTTAAACACCTGGACGACAAAAAAACAAATAAATTACCCCGTATCGGCGCCTCCAGGATCTAGAAGCGTTGTATGAAATTACAGAAACACAAATTTCTCAGTCGTTTAAAAACTTTATTACTCTTGGACAGCATGTTACAGTGGTTTATCGAGTAAGTAACAAAATTCAGTCTATATGAAATGCGTATTACTTATTACGGTACATCGAATACAAAATAGACTCATGAACAACTCATACAAGTACTTACGTACGATAATACATATACTATCAAAACACAAAATCAACATTTGTAAATATAAATTTTAAATGTAGATAGATGTCGCAGGGTAATATGTAATAAAACTTGCGTCAACAAATAATGAACTCTATACATATTCTATTAAATTCACGTGGTTAATTTTAAGTATTTATTATAAATCTAGATTCACCTGCAATATATATCCTTTTAGGGGTTGTACAGTTCTGTAATGTTATAAATATGAGTAATGGTAAGATATTTTCAAAAATATTACTAAGAAGTTTTCTGATTTTCGGTGTAGTTACATTACTAGGGTTATATATTTGCTGTATATTGGGTTGTCTACATATTATATTACAAATCGTAGCTTATTTGTAAAAAAAGAATATAAATTAGCATCCCCAACTGTATTTACATACAATAATATAATAAAATACAATTTAGGGATGAAAGTTCTTTAATGAAACCGGAATTATAGCTCTATTATAGTCTTTGTTTTAAGTTGTTCCGGCGCCTCTACCAAAATTGTTACTAAAACTTTTTAATAAATACTATAAAATTGCTTCTGGCGTTTGTCTTATTTATCTTCATGAATGTCTTGTTTTCGGAACTTATTGATAGTATTTAATAGAAAAAACGAATTCTATTGCTACCCTGCGACATATATACA